CAAGATTCTTAGCTACATCTACGGCCTTTCTGAAGGGTGCTTCCCTGTCGGTGATCTGCAGGGCTGCAACATGGTCTACTCCGGGCACTTTCATCAAGCACTACGCTGTGGATGTTCGTGACCGGCACAGAGTGGACCTTGGTAATCTCGTCCTTTCGTCGGCAGAGCATTGAATTTGCGACAGCTCCCACCTCCAGGTGAGCCACTGCTTTTCAATCTCCCATAGGTGTTATGGACAGAGACCACGAAGAAGATAAACAGGTTGCTTACCCGTAAGTGATGATCTTCGAGTGGTCATCTGTGCAATCACATGCCCTTCCTTCCCCACTGCTGTCGCTTCAGTACTTTTCTTTTTTTATTATTATTTTTATAAGACTACAAAATACTACAGAAAATAGGGGAGGGGAAACTACATATACGAGGGGGAAAGTAAAGAAACCAACTACTACCTAAAAACCCAAGAGAGGAGATCTTCAAAAAGCTTAATTACATTAAGTCATAGCTCATTTAAATAAATATGAATTGAGTCAAATATTTCAAACAGTTTCCCTTTTCTTTTAATTTTTTTAAACTGTCTAAAGACAATTCCCACCAATTATCACATCGTATCAGTTAATTCAAGGCACAATTCAGAGTCCTTCAGCCTTTATTTTTCTCTTCCTTGTCTCTTCCTCAGTTTATAAGGACTTTTCGGAGCAGCAGCTCCTTGCTCAGTCAGAGAGTCCTCTCCAGAAGATCCCAACTCCAGCTCTCCACTCGAATTGCTGTCATCTTCCTTTTCTTCTTCCTCTGATTCCTTCTTCCTCTGATTTTCCCAGCTGAACCCTTAGAAACTCTTTGGCTTTAAAAACAGAGTCAATTCTTTCTTTTTTATCCTTCATCTTGAAAGTTACGTCTTCCGGAAATAGCCATTTGTATCCAATCGAGTTTGTCTGAAGATAAGTCACCAGCTCTTTATACTTCTTCCTCCTTTGTCTTATGTCAAATGGAATATCCTTCAGCATTCTGATCTTATGTTTCCCCATTTCCAGGGGTTCTCCAGAAACTGCTTTCAGGATTGCATCCCTTATTCTCTTCGAGAATCTTACAACAATGTCCCCAGGCAGATTATTCTTTTTTATATAGCCTGAATATGCTCTGTAGACCACATCCATATCGTTTATTTAATAGCGATTCTGCCGTCATTTCCATCACTGGGGCGAGCAGTTCACCCATTACTTCTTTAAGATTCTCTCCCAATTTTTCTGGCACACCCTGGAAGCGAAGGACCATGTTGGCCTTATCCATTTGAATTTGCAGCCATTTATCTTCCATTGAAGTTTGTTTCAATTCCAGCTTTTGGACTTTCTTCTTTACTTTTTGAGTTGTTGCAGCCACTTCCTAAACTTTTTCATTCTCTTGCTTCATTAGTTGTATCACATTGTTCATTTGGGTTTGCTGCGCTGTCATTGTTTGAGTTACCACCAACATCTGCTCTTTGAAAGTATTTAGTTGCTCCAGCAGAGTGCGCATGCATTCAGCTACAGATTTAGCCAACTGAGTGGTCACTTCTGGTTTAGGACTATCAAGTCCTTTTACTTTCGAAATCTTGTCTTTGTCCCTCGTGCCCGCCATCTTTTCTGTTTGTTTACTCTCAGCAAGTTTTTAAAAGTCTCTGAATATGCGCTTGACCACTTTACTTCTCTCTGGTGAGTATATCTAGACAGTTTTCTCCGCGTTACTGCTCGCTCCCCCCCTTCCATTTAACAGTTTATGTGCATGGGAGGCATCCCCCCGCTCGCTTTTTCCCATTCCGTGGGGTAGGGTGGGGAGCGTCTTTTTCTTTTAAAAATCGTTTCTCAGTTGACTCACGTTGGTCATCCGACCACGCTTCTTGCATCATTTTTAGCGCTCGATCTCCTGCGCTCGACCCGGTTAGCGTCTCTAGTACCATTCGGCCTCTCGGCACGAAGACCCACCAAAGCAAAGGGGCGCCTCAATTCTCTGGCATTCCGCCATCGAAGAGGCCACCCCTCAAAGCTCCCTGGCCAGGTCCCCTTCATCGGGTCTCTGGGGGGAGCCTGCTCGTCCCCTCCTTCAGCCGGAGCGCAGAGACACCCCCGGGAGGTCCGGGAGGTGAGTCCGCAGACACGCCACCATCAACCGGAAGTCTCCGCTTCAGTACTTTTCTCCAGTTATTGACATGACAGCAGTTAGAAGGAACTGGCAGAATGTCCACGCCCTGCCCCCTTGGGCATGCACAGTGGGGTTCCCACGCGTGCTTGGGAGAGAGGCACGAAAATCCCATTGTGAGCTTTGTATATCAGTGATTTGGATCAGCGCAGGCGCATAATCCCGTAGGTGTGACTGCACACATGACCACTCGAAGATCATCAGTTACAGGTAAGCAACCTGGTTTTTTTGTCCTACAAAATGAGGGCTAGCAGAGATATGCAGAAGAGGCAGGCATGCAGGATGGGGGGGGGTTGCTTGTAGCAATACATGGGGCATAGATATAGAAATACATATCTCCTTTTCCTAGCATGGAGATGCCTTGAAGGGAAAAATATGATACTCATTGTAAATTTCTGCTCAATATACAACTAATGAATCATAATCACCTTGCTAAAACTTCATTGAACTGAACATGGCAACTGTACTTAAAATTCATATTTTAACCCAAATTGTAAAACAGTGAGAGCTAGATGTTCAGGCATCAGAAAGATTCTCTTACCTCATCCTTTCTCTGAAATATGACATGTAACCAAGAGAAATTGCTTATTTTCACTTGGACCATATTTAGGGCTGTTAACAGACCCAGTGAAAGAGAGCATATCCCTTAAATAGGAGCTTGCTTGATATGTGGAAATGGGCAGGGAGATAAATGTCATCTGGTTGATAATATCCATAAAAGGAATTCCCCCCCCCCTCCAGGCTGTTGGCAATTCTAACTGTTAAAGGACTGAGAATGGGCATGTACTCACCTACCTGCTATAGATCTGTATTCTGCTTTTCTAGCATAAAGAGCTCTAGGTTCATTTGGGCTATCTGTCTGTCATACATAGGTTTAAAGGACTGGGACATGCAGCAGGTATTGGGACGAGTAGGGCTTCCATCCCCCACACCCTCAGTAGTTCTTTTGTAGTTTTAACACCCATATGAGAGACACACAGGTCAATTTCACATTACCTTTCTAAACTGAATGGCTTCTATTATTATTGGCCCATCATGGAGTAAACTGGTACGTTGATGGCTGTTTCACACTGCATTCCCCTTCCAGTAAGGAGCCGTCTCTGAAGTGCTGTGGCCATTTCAAACTACCCCGCTTTCTTTCCCCGCCATTTCCCCCCATGCGCATGATCTCCAGGAGAGGAGTTTTGTGGGGTTTTTTAATGTTCTATTGGGAATGCTATGATGCTGAAACAGGACGTCAAATCAGCGCAATAGTGCCACCATCGGTATGCCTAGACTCCATTGAGATACATGCAAGTGCTACATCTGCCACCTGGAAACAAGTATCTCATTGGATACAGAGTTCAAGCTGGAGATCAGGGCACCAGAGATTGGTGAGACAGCTGCTGCTAACCCTTCCATGCCCAGTGTGAGTGAGGGGGGAGGGATGGGTTTCCAGGTGATGCAGAGGCCCACATATTGGAGAGGCTGTTGCCACCTGGAGAGAAGCTGCTCATTGGGCAGCAGGTTTAGGCGGGAGATCAGGGTATCAGTGACTGGTGAGATAGCTGTTGCTAACGCAGCCTGATGTGCATCTATCCATGCCAAGAGGCGATTGCCTGGGGAGTGACTGGTAGAAAGCTGGATCAGGTATAAATGGCAGGGAGGCAAACCCCTTCTCTTTGTGGGTTGAAGTTGGTAAATGGTTGGCTTGTTTGATTAGAGTAGTCTTGTTGATCACCTGCAAGGAGGATGAGTGGGACAAGGGGAGGTAGCCTGGAAGAAGCAGGAGATTAGAGTCCTGCTGCTTTTCAACACTACACCAAACTGGCTCTGGATTTCCATTCCACCTTTTTCAGCTTATTGAACAATTAAAGATGTCGACATGATTGGTCACAAAATTTGACTATGAATGTAAAAATCAGGTTTTAAAAGAAACATAAGGACCATGCAGTAAGAAGGAAAGCAGTGACACCATTGCTTTGAGCTGCAGCCAGCTCTTGAAGCATTTTGGAATTTTTTTAGTTTTGGGGGGGAAATAACAAATGGTGACTCAATAAAGGTTTATAAAATCTAGGTGCATCTGACCTATTTCTGCTTGTCACAGTTATCACCTGAGAGGAGATGGAGAATTACTGGAATCTGAGTTGCAGTGTTACCACCTTAAGTCTGTGATATGGAGGAATTGCGAGCGAGAGAGTGTGGAGAGAGCAATTCCCAGAAACACCAAATGTCTGGGGGAAAAATCCATAACGGAAGAATAATCAGAATACAATTAGATTAGAGGCCCCTGCACAGTGAGGCTACTGCCACCAAGCCGTCCTCTTCCTCTGCTGTGGGCGTGCTCCCAGCTCGCTGTTCTCTCTCTCTTTCCCCCGGCTTCCCTGACCCACAGGATTTCCGAACACCCCACCACCCAAAATTTCTGTCTACCCCCCTGAACTTGAGAGTGGCTGAAAGGAAGATTGAGTTTGGCTCTTTGCATTTTCACTTCCTGCAGGAGGATGGAGTTTAGAAAAACACAGAATGAGCGACCGCACAAACCACTCCCCAAGAATCACACAGAAGCTTCCGTTTCAAAAAAATTCCCCGTCAGGCTCTGGGTCACCCGGCTTCCCTACAGCGAGCCGCCCACGCGGTAGAGTAGGCTGGCTGGCTGGCTGGGTGGGTAGGGCGAGCGGGGGGATCTCGAGAGTCTTGTTGCCCTCCTCTGCCGTCTCCCCCCCCCCCCCCCCCTCTTTTTTTTTTTACCTTTCTCTGTAGGATTAAGTCTACCACGCCCATGAGTGCATGCGCATGCGAGTTCCTATCAATCATCTTGTGTCGCCGAGAGTACGTCACAAGGAAAATGGCGGCGCGCGCACAGTGTGCTGGACTGGAGACCGGCGGTCCTTCCGAGCCCTGATTTGGTCGTCAGGTTCCTGCCTCCCTTTAGCTGTGGCTTCGCGGGGTGGTGGGTGCCGCCAGTCTTTCTGTTCTGCCTCCCCCGCAGACACGCATGTTGTCCTTGGGTCGCAGCGCGCGCCGGGTCGCGGCGACTCTGGTTCCCCAGACGTGGCTCTGGTGTGCGAGGAATGACACAGCCTCGACAGTTCGTCGCCTCAGCTCTCCCTCTCCGAGATACGACGTTATTGTCATCGGGGGTGGCCACGCGGGCGTAGAGGCAGCCGCGGCGGCAGCTCGGCTGGGAACCCAGACACTGCTTCTCACGCATAAGATAGATACCGTAGGTAAAGAAGAATGAGAAGAAAGTCGATCGGTCTTGCTGAGTTAAATCCTTATTGCTTTGGAGTAACGTGCACAACAGATGCCTGTTGCTAACTGTTTTTTCGGGGAGCAAGTGTAGATAACACGACCTCAGGGTATGCCCCTCAGGATGTCAATGCTGGATGAATTTTTCCTCTCCTGTAGTGCTGGTAATTGGGCTGTCCCATGAAGTTGAAAGATGATAGATTCAGGACAGTCAGGTTTGCTGCGCAAAGTGTTAATTGTGGAATTTTTTGAGCACCTGTGTATTAAGTGTTCTTAAGTCACTTTTGACTTAGGGTGACTAGTGTTCCCTCTAAGCTGAGTTAGTGTGATGTAGCTGACAGTTTTTTAGCCTCTGGCTCACACTTTTGTCGTAGCTCAGAAAGGATGGCTCCAAAGCAAACTGATTTATGCAGAAGCCAAATTACTAGCTCATAGTTTTAATGCCAGTAGCTCACAAAGTTTAATTTTTGCTTACAAGACTTTACAGCTTAGAGGGAGCAGACCCTATGAATTAATGACCTCAAAAACATCCAGTTATTAATAGCCTTGCTCAGGTTCAGGTCTTGCAAACAGAGGGCCCTGGCTTCCTTTATTGAGACCATCCATCTCACCTTTGGTCTTCTCTGTTCCTGCTGCTTTCTAGTTTTCCTATCATTATTGTCTTTTCCAATGAGTCTTGTCTTCTCATACTGTGACCTAAGTACAATAGCCTCAGTTTAGTCATTTTCAGCATTTGATCTAGAACCCATTTATTTGTGGTAGGATGGATAAAATGTATGTGATCATATGATATGGATAACCATGTGACTTAAAAAAACCCCCAACAACTTGGCCAGATGCTAACAGCTCCTTGTTTTTGACTTTCTGTATTATAAGCTGCAGTGAGTTCTCCACAACCTGATTGGAGCCCTAGGGATTTGGAGACTTCTTTCCTCTACTTTAAGCTTTATTAACTGAAAAAGACTCTTAGTAAAGACTGTTCTAGCTACTAGGCTGCTGGGGAATTTCCATTTGCAGCCAAAGTGTGTGTGTGTGTTGGGGGGAGAGGTAGACCAAATGCTGGCAAAGATGAACTGGTTTCAGACTACAAAGTTCACAAGCTACCTTCCATGGTTTCAACCTCAGCTCCACACAGAGCAGGGAGTGCCATGTGTGTGAATGTGGGTGCAGTTTCTTTCCCTGATGCATGACATGAGAAATTGCCTTTATGTTAAATGTTTACAGCTTGAAATATGTGAGGGAGATAACTGCTATTCATCTGACTGTGGCGTGAAGTACTAAAATGTTTCTTATGCAGATGAGTTGAAAATATTTCTTTCTCAGATTCAGATATAGGCACACCCAAATATGATGTCTAAATTTTAAGTACTGGTAAAATGTGAACTGACATTCATACTGTTAGGTGAGTTTCTCACCTAAGGCCGCTACATCTAAATCTTTACAAATAAGCAGAATCACAAAGTCTGTTTTCTCAAAGAGAAGAGCTTAAAATGCTGGGACCAGCCCCATAACCAGAAATTTTGGGTTGGTGGGGCATGGGGAAATTTTGTGGGGCAGAAAGGGGGGGGAAGGAGAGGGGCAGCCCCATGGCATGCCTTCCCTGATCTCCAAGCTACGATTAGCCGCTTGGAGATCAGGTGCAGGTAGCCGCCCAGCTCGAAATACAGCATTTAAAGGTAACCCTTTAAATGCTGTTTTTTGGGGGAGGGGGGTTTGCACACTTTCCCTGATCTTCAAGCAGCAATTTTGCTGCTTGGAGATCAGGCGTGGGCAGCCCCTGCTAGAAAAACAGCACGTAAAGGGAACCCTTAAATGCTGTTTTTCTAAACAGGGGAGGCAGCTACCTGCCGCCTGCCCGCCTCCTCTAGGAGCATTCAGAAGGGCAGGGAGCATCAGGCACCATGAGCTGCCCTGACCGAGCGGGAAAGCGATGCCCAGTCTGAGCTGGTGCACAAAACTCTTAAACGAAGGGAAATTGACTCGTGCACCCCACTACCCCAGTGGGAAATCCCATTGTGGTCAATTTCACCCAGGAGCCAGTGACCACTCCTGCAAGGGAGAGGGGCGGCTGCACACTTTCCCTGATTTTCAAGCCGTGATTTTGCCACTTGGAGATCAGGGAAAGCCTGCGGCTAGCCCCCCTAACAAACAGGATTTAAAGGGTTCCCTTTAAATGCTGTTTTTTAAGCAGGGGCTGCCTCTGTCTGGGAAAGTGTGTGCCCCCCCACTAGAAAAACAGCAATTAAAGGGTTCCCTTTAAATGCTGTTTTTCTAGGGTGGCTGCAAGATTTAAAGGGCCCTCCAGCTGGTTGGCGGGCTACGTGCTCACAGATTAGTTGGAGGGCCCTTTTAATGCCACAGGAGGGGAGGGAGAGAAGGGGGGCGAGGGGCAGCAACTTTTGTGTGGCATGCATTCCGTTTGAGGGGGCACAGCCCCCAAATGCCCCACCATAGCTACGGGTCAGGCTGGGACTAAGTGGTGCAGGAAATAAAATGCTGAGTACTAGAAATCTAGTCTCAACCCTTGCTGGGGTGATCTGTTGCAAACCTTTCAGCCTAACCTAACATAAAATTTTGAAGGTAACCTGTATAACATTATATGTGTGTTTGTCTTGAATTCACGCTAGTTTTCCTCATTATCCCAACTAACAGGGAGTGCATTCTTGTTAAATCTCCTGAATATCCTGGCAGCATTTGATACCATTGCCTATACCGTAAAGATCTCTACATGGGGCTGACTTTGAAAAAGGTCCAGAAATCAGCTCATCCAAAACAAGACTGTCAGGGGTTGTATGGTGCTGAAAGACCTGCTCTGGCTGCCAGTTTGTTTTCAGACTCAATTCAAGGTGCTGGTTCTTACCTTAAGACCCCAAATGGCTTGGGGCCAGGGTACTTGAAGGACTGCTTACTCCCATACTGTCCAACCCACCAATTGAGGTCTGTCTTTCAAGCCCTACTGTCTGTGCCCCCAATTTTGGAGTTAATGCAAGTTGCAACTAGAGACAGGGCTTTTTCAGTAGTGGCACCTCACCTATGGAATATCCTTCCTCTTGAGGCTCACATGGTCCCTGTGCTACTTTCTTTTAGCTGCATGCCAAAACATTTCTGTTAACCCAGGCTTGGTCTTCTAACACCATTTTTATAGTGTGCTTTCAGCTCGAATATTGTTGCTGCTTAATTATTTCTGTGTAATGCTTTGGGTGGGGTTTTTTTTTTAAAAAAAATCTGGGTTTTAATCAACAACTTTTAAAGTTTTATGCTTGGATTATGTTTTATTTTGTAAACTGCCTTAGCCAGATTCCATTGGAAAGGTGGCATAAAAATTTTCCAATTTCCATTGGAAAGGTGGCATAAAAATTTTAATGGAAAAGACGGAAGGGGAAGTACACAGTTTACTGCCCTACTGAATTATATGCTTAGTGACTTCAGTTCTGAGTCTTTATGTGGTTCTCAGTTGGTGTCATTTTGACAGTTTTGTAGGTCAGATCTCAGACATATTGAGGAGTTTGCTATAGACCCCAGCTTTGGCAAACGTTAAAAGGGTGGGAACTTTGTACATTAAAGTGTTTTGTTGAGCCATATAGTATAGGTGTTTCATTTAACATCTACAATATCAGTGAGCCAGCTTGTCCTGATGGCAATATATATCTATATCTATCTATATATCTATATCTATCTATATATATAGGTGTTTGTTTATCATGCTTGCAGTATAATCCTGTGCAAAATTACTACTCCAATCTAAGCCCATCGACTAGAGTAAATTCATAGGATTGCACTGTTAGACACTTTTAGGTTTCTGTTCTGACACTCCATCCAAGCTTGTATTTTGTACATGCATAACCTGACCAATTTCTGAGATTTACCATAAGGTTTGTCTAATGAAGCTTGTTGCAATGCTAAAATTAAATGTTTGAAAGTCATCTGATTAAGAGACCATTTAACCATACTTGAGATTAGGAAATGTCAAGTCATCTTGTGGTTAATAGTAAGATTTGAATTAAGACAAACCATAATATTTAATTTCTTGTTGTTGGGTTTCTGGTGTGTGTGTTTCCCATTTCAATGCATTTCGTTTCTTTAGCTGAACAATGGATAAATTGCATAAAGGGAATGTTGGTAACAGATCAAAAGCCTACTAGCTTTGGGTGCTATAACCCAGGTCTCTAGTCCAACATGTAATTTATACTATGCCAAACTGGGGCAGTGGAGGGAGGTGGAACTAAAGTATAAGCTTGTAATCTGTGCCCCTGTTGTTTCCTGATAGAAGTTCACTCTTTTTTAACCATTTAGGACAAATGTCATGTAATCCTTCCTTTGGTGGAATTGGGAAAGGTCATCTGGTAAGGGAAGTGGATGCACTGGATGGGCTCTGTGCTCGAATTTGCGATCAGTCTGGAGTGCATTATAAAGTACTAAACAAGCGCAAGGGACCTGCTGTCTGGGGTCTCCGAGCTCAGATAGACAGAAAGCTCTACAAAGTGAACATGCAGGTGAGAATGTAGAGAAGAACCCGGGGACACACACACACACACACACAATGTGGAAAGACTCATAAGATGTGAGATGGGGTAAACGGGTGAACAAAAGGACCCCAAAGGGGCAAAAAATTTAGACCCTAGATATATTAAAATAGATGTCTCCTATCTTTATAATCTGGAGGCACCTTAGATTGTCTTCTGATTCACACATGGAATGTGACTGACATTTGGGTGGCTCCAATAATAGCATGCATTTGTTTTTTAAATGTATAAATTGCAGCCAACAACAGTTTTCCAAAGTACTGTACAAAACATTAAAATGAAGAGACTTGATTGGGAAAATGTATTTATTGCTTTTATAGTTAAATCTCTCTGATTGTAATTTTTTGGCAGGGGGTGGGGAAAGATTTATGATCATTTCGAAAAAATGGGATTGGGTATGAGCCAAGATAATAGAACTAAGCAGTCTATCAGTAACCTTAAATGCAAACTTTCACAAGCTTTACTTTCAAAGTGGTACCTGACATCTAAACTGATCCTGATTTGACACTGTATGACAGAAACCCTTAGATCAGAGGTATCGAACTCATTTGTTACAAGAGCCAGATCTGACATAAATGTCACTTTGTTGGGCCAGGCCATGTGTGCCATAAAATATAATGCCAGGTACAGGAGATATAAACTTTATAAAGCACACAGGCAAACCCAATTAACGATATTATTTTCCACTCAAAATCCAAACAAAAGCAATTGATTTCTAGCAGTGGAAGCAATTGATTTATTGGGGAGCCCACAAAAGCCCCAATAAATATATTTAATCATGTGGAAGACTAGTTTTTTTCCAAGGGATACCATAAAGGGGGGGGGGGGTGTTCTTACATTTCCATACATACCAGTTGCTTGCGGGCCGAGGCCTTATGTAGATTATCTTTGTCTGTGCATAAATTGTTCATTTTAGGTAGATGGATACTGTTAAAGAAATGGCTCCTCAAACCCTAAAATAAAATATTGTAAAATGTGTTGTGGGGACCAGAAACCGGGGGTATTTTTTACTTTTTTTGGCTGAGGAAATTACCAGTTCAGTGAGGAAACTGACAAAAAGTGGCACAGACTAAGGGAAATGTCCTCAGAATTGCAGACAAGCGTTCATCAATAATGTTCATCTTTTGAACAGTTAAAGGAAACTTTCTTTTAGATGTCTTCTGTTTTTGTAATGTAAGGTAAATTTGCCTTCAAATTGCAGCTTAAATATAGTGGGCTGTTTTGTGCTCAGATAGGTGATTAAATGTAAATGTTTATGCCAGTTGACTTTGCAAAGGGGCACTGGAGGAATGTGAGGTGAATTTTCACCACAGTGCTTGCATAAAGTTAGGAGATGTCCCTGAGAGACAGAAGGCATTCTGTTTGCTCAGGATTCCTCAAAAAGGTCCTGTCAGTGTGAGTACACCATCTCTTAATATTTCTCTTTTCCAAGTAGAAAGAAATTCTCCAAACGCCCTGTCTGACAGTGTGTGAGGCATCTGTGGAAGATCTTCTACTGACAGAACCAGAAGCTGGGAGTCCTGGGAAATGCTGTGTCAGCGGAGTCATTCTGGGTTAGTACAGGAGGAAAGCTGCTTCCTGGAACAGACCTGTCTTTCTGCCTTCATATGAAGCTGAATCCTTAAGTCACAAGAAAAAAAATATCCAGTAGTCTTATCTGATTATGCAGTGTAACAGTAATAGAACATGGCATTTTTGACCTTGTGTTATCTATTTCCTGTATGTTCACTTCACTCCAGTATCCAGGTGAGTGGGTGAGAATGGCTTCTTGTTGAACCTGTTGCTCGCACTAAGCTTTTGAAAAGTCATAATCAGTTCATAGATGGTGGTCATAGATAGATCATAATCAGTGGTGGAATGTGCTGACTTTGTTATTGTACAGTTACCCTTCTTGAGATGAGAGTTGCATGTGATTATGGTCTGGTTGATTGCTTTTGCGTGATGCATAGTCTTTTGTATTTTGTAATGGCCAATGGCTTAATACAATAAATTTACTTGTACTAGTAATTACAGAGGAACTGGAGAGCTGGACTGCATGGGATCATGTCAGTAAAGATTAGCACCATAATTACCTTAAATACTGTCATACTGCAAGACCAGATTATTGAAGTTTTTGCATGTGCACTTTCACCTCTGTTAAAGGGACTCCAAAATATCTTAGGTTATCAGATGTAATGTAGTTCACATGAGTTAGACCTCTTACTTTCTGATCCTCAGCAAGTTTATCAGGAAGTGAATCACCCTGCTCTGCTGCCTCAGAGGTACAGAGGCTGGTGCTCAAATTCTGGCAGTTGTTAGGTAGTAGTCTGTATGCTTGGGCCTGCTGCTTCAGTTTCAGATTCCTAGGAAGGGTTCAGCATGTAGATGGATCCAGAAAGCAGTGAGTTTCAAGTGAGTGTTTGTGACATGTCAGCATTTGAACAGGTAATCAGTAACCCATGCAAAGGCAAGAGGTACTTTGGTGGTTTTGCTATGTAAACGTGATTGTTTGAATCCACCCTGACCTGAAGGTGTGATGACTTTCCAAGGTTTGGGATGGGGCCACATTGGGCTGCTGAGAGTGATGCAAGGAGAACAACTGGCTCAGACTGTTGTCTGACTTTTTTCTGGATCAATGTCATCCCAATGCAGAAAGTTCTGCTGTTCTGGTAGTTTAAATATATGACCCTTCCGATGCTCACAGATCAGAAAAGCCAGGGTGCATTCAGCCTTCCATATATGTCTCCACACACACCCCATGATAAAAAGAATACATGTGACATGGAACTGAAAGATGTCTTTTCCTAAACTACATATTTCCTCTTGAAAAGTTCTTATGGTGGTGGGGGGAGTTCAGGTTGCTTTAATGAAATGTTATGATGGTACATCATAGAAAGGCACTGCTTCCTTTATGGTCAGGGAACCGTCTGGTGTGCTAAATCTACCCCAACCTGCTTCATTTTTTTCTCTCTCCCAGGGGATGGAAGGAGAGTGCATGCTGGGAGCGTTATTCTGACCACAGGGACGTTTCTAAGAGGGATGATCCTCATTGGACTGGAAATGCATCCTGCTGGGCGGATGGGAGATCAGCCCTCCATTGGCCTTGCTCAGACTTTGGAGAAGTTGGGATTTACTGTGGGCAGACTCAAGACCGGGACTCCACCCCGGCTGCTGAAAGACTCCATTGACTTCAGTGTTATGGCGAGACAACGGGCTGACGACCCTCCTGTGCCGTTCAGCTTCCTTAGTGAAGCGGTGTGGATCAAGGTGTGGAATCCTGAGCAGGCATGCTGCTTGTAAAGTTTATACAGGGAAGTCTGTCTGACTCTCTGAAGCTACTGAATGCCTCTGTATTGCCTGTAGCACTTGAGGAGGATATTCTGAAACACCTGCTTTGATGTGGAAGGGACTTGACTGCTGGAGTCACAGCACTAGCCAGACATGTGGGGGTGCCTGAATGACTATTATATTTATCTATCCTTGTTAAAAATTGTTGGGAGTCGTGCGAAAGGTTACTTTGAAGTCTTTCCTCCCCATTTCTATTACTGTCCTTCAGAACTGCCTGCTTTAGAATTCATTTTAGGATATCAACCCTCCTAGATACGTAGGACTCTGAGTAATTTAAATATCATTTTTCCACTTCACCAGTGGCCTCTTGCCTCTGAAAGTTACCCTGTGATATGTAGATGAGGGAAATCTTTGATCCTTGCAGCCACCTACACAGTTATTCTCAGTGTGTCATTATCTTTCTAAGCGTGAACATACTTTGGTCTTAAGACAGACTGATAAAATTCCAAATGGTTCAAGTTAATATGTCTACTTGAAAACCAGGGGTTGGCCATTTTATAATCTTTTCTGCTTTTTTTAAAGATTATATCCACACAGAACAAAAGTGTTGCTTTCCTGAGGGATCCACACATTACAGTTATCTAATAGGGCTCTGGAATAGGATGAAGATCTGAGTCACTTGACTATGCAACAGACTTTGTGACCTTTGCATAGGATTGCAGATTTAGTGATGTATTGAATTTCCTCCAGTCCAACCTTACTGAAATTAACAGATACACTCTGCAACTCTAAATAGTGGTATGGCTTAGAAAGGGTGCAATTCTCTTTAGAAATGCCCTGTTAACATTTCAGTAACTGCAAAGAATTGCACTGATAGCTGTGTGATGTTATGCTCTCTTTAATAGAAGTATATGCTGTTAAAATAAGTTAAAACGGCCTTAGCACTGAATATATTCAAGACTAGAACCTAACCTGTATTTCTATATTGTTAGCAGTAGGTAGAAATAGTGATTTTACATTTTATATTCCAGTACACTCAGGCAGCAAGATGATGAACTAAAGACTTTTAAAATGGTTATCTATAAAGGTTAATATGAAAACAACAACAATAATAATTAAGAATTATTGTATGGCATTGTGTATAGAATAGCCAGGAGATTCTAAGATTGTCTGGCAGCAAAAAGTTCTAGCTCTTTAGTGTTATGCACCACTACGTGGCAAGCTAGACTTGTTTTAAGGCAAGAGACGTTTCAGATACTAACCAAGGCTGACCCTGCCTAGCTTCCAAGAGCTGACGGGATTGGGCTAGCCTGGGCTATCCAATATGAAAATAAACCACCAGGTATACAGATGTATCCTAATTCGTTCATGAAATCAAAGTAGTTCTTGCTCTTTTTCAGCCAGAACATCAGCTTTTATGTTACCAGACCCATACCAACCCCAAAGTGGAACAGCTCATCCGGGACAACCTTCACCTGAACAATCACATCAAAGAGACAACAAAAGGACCTCGGTAAATTTTCCTTTGTATTATCATCTGTGTGGAGTTAGGACACTTCAGAATGACATAAGTAAAAAACACAGGTCTGTGCTGTAAGGAGCTTACAAGCTATCGTTTGACAGAGAGGGAGGCAACAGGGAGAGGAGGGGAGGAAAGGACCAGGGTAACAGAAAGAATGAGACAAGGACTACAGTACTAAGAAAAAGCATCTGTCCATACTCTTGCACTCCTTCAGGTAATCATGTGAAACATATGGCTAGCCCTTCTCTCCATGTCAGCATCCTGATTTAGCTGGTTATTCCTGTGTCTAGGTACTGCCCCTCACTTGAGTCTAAAATTCTGCGTTTTCCAAACCGTGTGCATCAGCTCTGGCTTGAGCCTGAGGGTCTAGATTCCAATGTCATCTACCCACAGGGAATGTCAATGACGTTGCCATCTGAAATCCAGGAGGAGCTTGTCACTCACATTAGGGGTTTGGAGAAAGCAAAAATTGTGCAGCCAGGTAAGATATCACATTTCTCCAATCAAATGAGGCTGTATGTCAGCACCTGGGAGAACATTCTGTATACTTTTATTTATTCATTTATACCCCTCTTTTCTCCTTCGTGGGGGAGCCTTAGCTGCTTACATAATTCTCCTCCATTTTATCCTCACAACAACCCTGTGAGGTAGGTTAGACTGAGAGAGAGTGACTGGCCCAAGTCACCCGGCATGCTTCCATGGCAAGAGTGGGGGTTCCAACCTGGGTCTCCCAGATCCTAGTCTGACATCCTAACCACTACAACCACAATTGCTCTGTAGTAGTTTAACAGATCTACAAACCCGCACAGTATGGTGCATGTTTTTATGGTCCTGAAATGTGCATGTTCACAGACTTTTATCTTGTGAGCATGTTTGTCTGAATCCATGCAGCAAACATTTCCCACATTGATTCCTTTGATTTTGCTTCTCCTAGGCTATGGAGTTCAGTATGATTTTCTGGACCCACGTCAGCTGACTGCCTCCCTTGAGTCTCGTCTTGTTCAGCGGCTCTTCTTCGCAGGACAGATAAATGGCACAACGGGCTATGAGGAGGCTGCAGCCCAGGTTAATGTGTTGGAGAAATTGTGGCAAAAATAGATTTTGCTGGGAAATTTCTTCTGTTGTTGCTAGAGACGTGCAGCCAAAAACTTGACTGGTTATGTCAAACAATAAGTGATTCCAAATAGGCCAGTCTGGCCTGGGCTCCTCAGGGCTTGGGAGCTGAGCAGGGTCAGCCGTAGTCAGTATTTGGATGGGAGACCATCAAGGAAATTGGGGATTGTTGCGCAGAGAAAGGCACTGGCAACCACTTCCCCACTCATCACTTGCCTAGAACACCAGTGGTTGGGGTCACAATGAGTTGGTTGCAACTTGACAGCACATTTTTCTTCACCTCTGATTCTCCTAACCATCCACACCTCCTCTCACAGTCAGTTTTTCTGTCTCAGGCTGTGCTCTCAGGCCTTTGCCTCTTCCTGTTGTTTTCTGGACCTCTCTGCTTTCCAACTTCCTGTTTTGAGGCCTGTCTTCCAAGGTCACAGGATTGTGATTGTCATTTTGAGGGGAGGAGGAATGGGAGCCGTTACATGAGCCATGTGCAGGGAGGTGGTGTTGCTGCAGGAGGGCAAAGGTTGAGAGCTCACCCACCCACTGTTGCATGAATCAGGTGGGTGGAGCTAGTGGCACTGCCAGTAGTTGGCTGGGAGGATGGTGGGAGCTGATGATGAGTGGGGAGGAAGGGTGGGACAAATCTGGCAGATCCCTGCTTGTAAGGTACTTGCTGCAAGCACATTTAGCCCTGTGCTGTGTACCCTTATTCATAAGCTGCTGGATCCTGCACACCTGTTGGCATTCTCTGTTTGTGTTCACCAGAGAACTACTCTGAAGCAATTTAGTTTGCAGCACCAACTCAAGCAGAGCTACAGTCTTCTAAAGTCATTGACTTCAGTGGACTTCAAAGAATGTAACTCTAATTACCATAATTATGGTAAATACGGTAGTTGGGCACAATAGCATTTTTCATGTGCATACTACATGAACTGCAGCTCTTAACCTTGGTTGCAGCGTCTTCGGGTAGACAGAATCTATTATAATACATAATGGCTATGGCTTCAGCAACTTTCCCCCCTCTGAGACCTTATACAAGTACTGGCATTCTCCGTTTGTAGGAACAGTTTATACTATGGCTTCCCTTTGTCTCCTGAGACCTTGTTGCTCTCCACCAGGGTATAATTGCTGGAATCAATGCTGGCCTACGAGTAAAAGGGAAACCTCCCTTTATCGTCAGTCGTACTGAAGGTTACATTGGCGTTTTGATTGATGATCTCACAACTCTGGGCACTGATGAACCATACCGGATGTTCACAAGCCGTGTGGAGTTTCGGATGTCTCTGCGTCCAGATAACGCAGACAGCAGGCTCACCTTCCGAGGTAGTGGGTTTGTCCAGCAGTGTTTCTTTGGCACAGATGATTCTGTCTTCCACTTCTTCTTATTTTTCTCTTTTTGCATTGGAAGGCTACGCTGAAGCTGGCTGTGTGTCCCAAAAGCGATATGACCAAGCCTCTCGGATGAATGCAATGTTGGAAGAAGGAATTGAAGCACTGAAGTCTATTGAGTTCAGCGGCACAAAATGGGCTCGATTGATTCCAGAGGCTACCATAAGTACTAATCGCAGCTCACTTCTCAGGTATTGGCTGGCCCTTTCTGCTCTTCTGGGGGTTATTTCAATGAGGCCTCAAAAGAACTGTGGTATTGAAACACTGTATCCTGTGTTCTTGTTCTGTCATATTGGGCTCAGTCTACAAAGTTGGGCAAAGAACGTATTGGGCTCAGTCTACAAAGTTCTCTGCCTGTGGAAAAGAGAGGAGCAATGTCCTTGTTTCCTTTTCTTCTTTGCCTCAGCCTTTCTTTGTATAGATGAGACCCCGAACTGGTCTCTGAGTCAGGTGCTCTTTGCTGAAAGAATCAGTGAGATGAGCAGCATTTACAATAAGATCATCTGTCCTATAGAAACAAATTGTTAAATTGAAAATTGAAAGTAACGCAGTCCTTCGCCTAGTTCCATCTTTAGTTTTTTTTTCTCACATGATCAACATCTTGATACAAAATTTATTTATTTATTTATTTATTGTCTGATTTATACCCTGCCCTCCCCGCAAGCAGGCTCAGGGCGGCTTCCAATAACATAAATACATGATAAAAACATACATAATACAGATTAAAACATAACAGTTAAAATAATACATTACAAAGTGCTGGCGGCAGTTAAAATTTAATCAAGAGGAATGCTTTCAGATGGGTTTCCAGCTTCCAGCATAAAAGTGCCTAGATGTTACTCTGCTCATCAACTCTTATGACAGCTGCTCAATGATGACTTTGCGGGCCATGTGCTGTGGTGGCGGCGGCCCCGAATTATATGCCTGGCAGAAGAGCTCCGTCTTGCAGTCTCTGCGGAACTGTGAAAGGTCTCGCAGGGCACTGATCTCCTCCGGGAGCTTGTTTCACCAGGTAGGGATCGCCACCGAAATTGAAGCCGTGTGTGTGAGAATGAGAGAGAGAACTGCAATATAAACTGGGGCTCTTTCACTGGGTCTTTTTTCTCCTTGGAAGAAATAACTGACATAATAGTCATAGAATCATATAGTTGGAAGGGACCTCCAGGGTCATCTAGTCCAACCCCCTGCACAAAAACCTCCCCCTCCACACCCGAAGTGACTGCTGTTCCACGTCCAGTTGATGACAAAAAACCTCCAGGATCCCTGGCCAAACCAGGCTGGAGAAAAATTGCTTCCTGACCCCAAAGTGGCAATCAGTATTCCCTGGGTGTGAAAGAAAGGGCCTTCCTGCCCTCCCTCTCATGATCTGCCTAAATTCACAGAATCCGCATTGCTGTCAGATGATCACCTAGCCTCTCTTTGAAAACCTCCAAAGAAGGAGAGCCCAGCACCTCCCGAGGGAGCCTGTTCCACTGAGGAACTGCTCTGTCGGGAAGTTCTTCCTAATGTTTAGCCAAAAACTCTTTTAATTCCAACCCATTGGTTCTGGGGCAACAGAAAACAACTCTGTACCATCCTCTTTATGACAGCCCTTTAAGTCCTTGAAGATAGTTATCATATCACCTCTCAGTCATCTCCAGGTTAAACATACCCAGCTCCTTCAACCTTTCCTCATAGGACTTGGTCTCCAGACCCCTCACCATCTTTGTTGCGCTCCTCTGGATACGTTCCAGCTTGTCTATATCCTCCTTAAATTATGGTGCCCAAAACTGAACACAATACTCTAGGTGAGGTCTAACCAGAGCAAAGTGGTACCATCCGCATGATCTGGACACTATACTTCTGTTGATGCAACCCAAAATTGCATTTTCCTTTTTAGCAATCACATCGCACTGCTGACTCATGTTCAGTGTATGATCTACTAAGACCCTTAGATCCTTTTCACACATACTATTGCCAAGCCTCCCCCAACCTATAATTATGTATTTGATTTTTCCTACCGAAATGCAGAACTTTACATTTATCCCCATTGAAAGTCATTAAATTTCTTTTAGCCCAGTTTTCCAGCCTGTCAAGATGATCCTGTATCCTGTATCCTACCCCTCCCAATTTAGTATCATCTGCAAATTTAATAAGCATTCCCTCTATCCCTTCATCCAAATCATTGATAAAGATGTTGAACAAAATAGGTCCCAGGACAGATCCCTGAGGCACTTGTCACTCCTCTCCAAGAGGATGAGGAACCATTCACAAGCACTCTTTGGGTGCGATCTGTCAACCCGTTACAGATCCACCTAACAGTCATAGGATCCAAACCACATTTTTCCAATTTGTCAACAAGAATATTATGTGGAACCTTATCAAAAGCCTTATTGAGATCAAGATAAACTATGTCTATAGCATTCCCCTGATCCTGCAAGGTAGTAACTTTCTCAAAAAGTGAGATACGGTTAGTCTGACATGACTTGTTCTTGAGAAACCCATGCTGGCTCTTAGTAATTACAGCCATCCTTTCTAAATGCTCAAGGTCTGTTTGATGATTTGTTCTAAAACTTTCCCAGGTAACGACATCAAGCTGACGGGTCAGTAGTTACCCAGATCCTCCTTTTTCTCCTTCTCCAGTCTTCTGGCACCTCACCTGTTCTCCAAGAATTCTCAAAAATAATGGACAGAGGCTTCCACTTCGGCGAAAGGGCAGGATAAAAGCCAAATAAATAAATAAATCCACAAGTCCGTTTAGTACCCTTGGATGCAGCTCATCTGTCCCCAAGGACTTAGTTACATTTAAAGAAACTAGTGTTTATGTACTACCCCATGCCGATCCTAGGCTGCAACTCTCTTCCCTCATCATGTGTTCTGTTTTTGCCATATTGAACACTGTTTCCCTTGCAAGAGAAGACTGAGGAAAAATAGGAATTGAGCAGTTCTGCGCTCTCTCTTTTTTTAAAAAATTGTTTTATTCCCTCTCCTAAAAAGGAGAGATATTTCGCTTAAAATTCAGAAAAATAGGGAAGGTATATAGAGGGATAAAGAACAGAGTTGAGTGGTGTTAGTGTATTAGTATATTATTCCTTTAGTATTAAAAATTAAGGTCAATAATTTCTTCTGCAGTCAGGCGCTCTTCTTTTCTTCTGTATCTGTTAACAAAAGCAATTAATATGTTAGTACTGTCCTTCTGAGATTAATTTCCCTTTCAAAGTGTAGTCCAAAAGAAGAAACTTAAACTTTGGCATCTTTTCCTCTTTTTTCTCTCAGGTTATATTTCGAACCCGTCGCTCCTTTAGCTTCCTCGTCTTTCACCTCTCCCTCCGAGCTGCTGTCTTCCCCGCTTAATCCCGACATCCACTTGGCCAGTTCTGCCTTTTCTTCTTTGCTGGTGTGCCTTTTCAAAAAATCTTGAGCCTTGAATATAGAGTCTATCTTTTCTCTTTTATCCTTAAACTTAAAAACCAGTCCTTCGGGCACCAACAATTTATAACTCGTTTGATGATTTTGTAAGAACATGGTCAATCCTTTATATTCCTTTCTTTTCATTCTGATTTCAAATGGAACATCTTTCAAAATCCTGATCGGTTGGTCTCCAATTTTCAGGGGCGTTGCTGATGCCACCTTTAAAATCTGGTCCCTGAGACGTTGCTTTGTGAATTTCACAACCACTTCTGCTGGCAACTTATTTTTCTTCGTAAAATTGGAATAGGCCCTATAAGCCAAATCCAATTCTTCTTTTATTTTTTCCGCTTCGTTGCCAGTCAGTGGTGCTAAAGCCGCTGGCAAAATGTCTCTTAGGTCCTCTCCATTCTCTTCTTTCAGTCCCTGAAATCGGAGAGTTAAATTTGCTTTCTCCATTTGAAGCATTAGCAATTTATTGTCTTGTTTTTCTTGATGTTTTTCCACTTTGATGACCTTCTTCTTAACTTTCTGTACTTCTTCTGCTGATGCCAGGCATTTCTTTGCAATATCGTCTACCTTTTCGGCTGTCTCTGTCATCTTCTTCTGTTGAAGACCATAGGCACTTTCCATAGAATCTAGTTTTAGGTTGATTTTTTGCAGTTCCTCCAGCAGATGGCGTGCAAGATCACCTTCTTGTTGATTGACAGCAGTTCCAGCAGGGGAAGGGCTTGGACAGGAAGTCCCTCCCATCTTCTTCATCTGCTTCTCTAGTAGTTTTCTCGGCCCCACCATATTGCAACTTTGTTTACACTTTAAAAGTTCTTGCCGTAACTCTCAGGGATGGCTCCCTCCTCTCCGCGTTCTTCTCCCTCTCAGAAGGTAATGCGTTTTTTCAATTTTTTGCTTCGCCCCTCCCTTGCCTTTAAAAAGTCTCTTATTCATATGGGGGGGAATCCTCCCTCCCTTCCGCTTCTTGGGGGGGTGAAGCCCTTTTATGCCGCCGCTTTTATTTTGAACGCCAACTTACGGTTCATCGCTTGTCTCGTTGATGTGACTTAACTTTAGCGCTCCACCACCCCGCTGTTCCGGTGGCGTTGCTAGTCCCCATAAGGGGCAAGTCGCAGCCGGGGCCGTTTGGGGTAGAGGGAGAGCCTCAATTCCCGACCTTCTGGTCGGCAAGAGGCTTCTCCCCAAAGCACCCCCTTTCTCTCCTACTCGAAATGTTTCCCCAGACACATCATCCCCCCCCCGCAGTTATAAGAACAACCAGCCCCCCACCCACCCAGTGTTTGTCCACAATTGGCTGCTGTAACTTGAGAGCTTTTACACAGGGAGCAAGAGTCCAGGAGCACTTTAAAGACTAACACAACTTGTGGCTGGGGAGGAGATTTCACTGCTGACTTCTTCAGATACAGCTAAAAATCTCGGGCAGTTGCATGCAGCCCGGGGTGAGGTGCTTTTTGTCAGGAGGTGCCTCATAGGGAGGAGAGAGCTTTTCTCATTCGTCTGCAGCACTGAGAGGCTTAAGGCAAGCGAGCAGCTTCCTAGAGAGGCTGAGCAAGGAGAGAGGGCGGGAGAGAGGAAGGGCGGGTGGTGGGAGAGGCTTTGCTATTTGAATTGCCAAAGAGAGGAGGAAGGGCTTCAGAGCTGCAACAGGAGGAGGAAAAGCCTTGTTGCAGCCAGGTCCCGGGAAGGTTTACTCACAAGTCATGGGGGGAAATAAACTTTTCAGTCCTGGAAGAGAGAAATGCAGCTGTTGAGTTAGTGTTTTTGATGGGGGGAGTTGGGATTAAATGGTTCTAAAACATCTGTTCCCTGTAGACAAAGTTTCTGCTTCTCCTTAATGGCTTTCTCTGCTGCCCCAGTTGGCACAGAGGACCCTGCCCACCTGTTGGGGAGCCTGGGGGCAGAATTGGGCATGGGGTGGGGAGCTATCCATGTCATGGTAACATCAAGACTAGACTACTGTAATGCACCGTACATGGGTCTCCCCTCAAAATCAGTTCAGTTGTTGCAGAATGCATTTATGTTTGAAAATTGGTGGGTGCACCGGGGCGGGGGGCGGGGGGGCAGAAGGTAGCCTCACCTAGTGTGCAGAAAAACTTGACACCGGCCCTGACCAGGCCACCCTTCTTTACAAGTAGGGCTCAAACAAAATAATATACAATCTCAGATTAAAATAAATTAAAACAAGCCAATAAGTACCAGTACATGGACAACATTGTCAAAATAGCAAAAATACCTCATATAAAAGATGACGGAAAACTCCAGCACCCTTGTCTCCCTGGGGGGGGAGGGATAAAGAGGGATGGGGACATGTGAGAGTGGCAAAGGCTACCCCCATTGTTATCCTCAACTGAAGTCCCGACGGAACATGTCTGCCTGACATGCCCTGCGGAATGGTAACAGCTCCCGCAGGGCACGGATATCTTCCGGCAGGGCATTCCACCAGGTGTGGGCCAGGACAGACTTCTCTCGGGCCGGGGACCACCAGGAAGTTCTTATTTCTTGAGCGTAACAGCTCTTCCAGATGCATACAGAGAGAGGCGGTCCCGAAGATATGTGGGTCCCTGACCGCTAAGGGCCTTAAAGATCAGAAGCTGAACCTTGAACCTGATCCGGTGCTCCACTGGAAGCCAGTGCAGCTCGTGCAGCACTGGTTGAATATGTGTTGTCCGTAACTGTATTTTGGACCAGTCAGAACTTCCGGGTCAGATGCAAGGGCAGGCCTGCGTAGAGTGAATTACCGTAGTCTAACCTGGAGGTGACCGTTGTATGGATTACCATGGCTAGGTCAGGGCAAGACAGGTAGGGAGCCAGCTGCCTGGCCTGGCGGAGTTGGAAAAATGCCTGGCTGGCAACCTGAGCTTCCATACAGTCTAAGGTCACACCCAAACTTCTGACGGTCTGTGCCCAAACGAGGCCCTCCCCCGCCCAGCCACAGAACCTCCATCTTTCCTGGATTCATTTTCAGTCGAGACTGTTTTAACCATCTCACCACAGCCTTCAGGCCCTCAGCTAAATTCCTGGGAACAGTATCCATAGCTACAAACACAGGAAAGAAATTCACAACTGTTTTAAATTGGAGCGATTAATACATCTTAAGGGAAGCACGGTTGCCCATCCTCCTAATCAGAACCGAGATTCACTTTCCCTATGAAGAAATGTTAAAGCTTGGGGCTCTTTAGCTTGGAGAAATGACGGCTGAGGGCTGACATGATCGAGGTTTATAAGATTATGCATGGGATAGAGCAGGTAGAGAAAGAGGTACTTTTCTCCCTTTCTCACAATACAAGAACTCGTGGGCACTCAATGAAACTGCTGAGCGGTCAGGTTAGAATAGATAAAAGGAAGTACTTCTTCACCCAAAGAGTGATTAACACATGGAATTCACTGCCACAGGAGGTGGCGGCAGCTACAAGCATGGATGGCTTCAAGAGGGAATTAGATAAGCATATGGAGCAGAGGTCCATCGGTGGCTATTAGCCACAAGGCGTAGATAGGGACTCTGGGGCAAGTGATGCTCTGTATTCTTGGTGCTTGGGGGGGGGGGGTCAACAGGGGGGGGGCTTCTAGTGTCCTGGCCCCACTGCTGGACCTCCTGGCACATGGTATTTTTGACCACTATGTGACAGAATGTTGGACTAGATGGGCTATTGGGCTGATCCAACATTGGCTTCTCTTATGTTCTTATGATACATCATCCAGAATTTCTGGAGCTGTTTGGCCGCCGCTCTTTCAGTTACCTTACCCAGAAACGAGAGGTTCGAGACTGGGTGGTAATTGGTCAGATCCATAGGATCTGAGTTTGATTTTTTTTAGGAGCGGAACAACCATCGCCTCCTTCAGCCCCTCGGGAAAGGTTCCAGAACCCAGGGACAGATTGATAATGTCTTCGAGGGTGCCTCGTAACCTCTCGCTGCTGGCTTTCACCATCTTTGAGGGGCATGGATCCAAGAGGCAATTGGTTGGCCTAACAGCACCCAGGATTATTTCGACATCGGCCTGGGAGAGCCAACTGAAGGTGTCAAAAACCAAATCCAGAGACGGCCAAGGGGCCTCCAGTTCACTTACTGTATTAGTATTGGCTGGAAGGTCACGGCAGTGACGAGACTTTATCTGCGCAAATGCCTCACAGCTTAAGGTTGAATTTCTATTACTTTGGGTCCTTTCAGACAAGGACGTACGGTAATTATCCTGAATAGTTGTGCCGGGTGAGAGATGCAATGGAGGCTGCTCTTTCTTTGCAGTCTTCACTGCCATCTCATAGGATTTTATAAGCGTCCTATAAGATGAATCATGAATAATACTATTATTCAGACTTCTGTGTGGATTTAGATTGTGTTAGGATTTGTAGCTAAAATGTGGAATTTATTTGCTGGCATATACAAACAGAAACTAAAGCTGTGGAATTCAGATAATTACAAGCAGCATCAGAAAAACAAACTTGCACCCAATCATAAATTCAAGTACATGGGATTAGCATTGCAAAAACAAGGCCTGATGCTGTTCCTTTATTTTATACAGACCTAATTCTTACTGCAGTTGCCAAACCTGTGCTGCCGATTTTGGTTGCTGGAATATCTGTGGTATTTCTCCGTAGTTACCTTGCACTAAAATGCTGTGTTTCTTCTGTTTTATATAGTCACCTTCTCATACCCACTGTTGGTTTCTGGTAGAAAATGGGTTTCTTGTGTATTGTAAGTTTCTTTGGGTTTCTCCTGTATTGTTCCTTTGTAAGTGGTCTCTCGTGCTATATTATAAGACACCCATATTGTTTTGTGCTTGAAAAATGCCTAATGCAATGTATTCAGGATTCATACACAACAGAACTACAGTAATGCAAGAACAACTTAGACTTGTAAATGTCCTAAAAGGCTGTGAGGATAGATATTAGCAAAGATTCATTCACTTATGTCACACGAACAAAACCTTTATTGGCATGACATTCACTGATGTAATAATCAGCAATGCTTTATTTCTGTTTCGCCAGCGCTTTGGACATCCTTCAGTACCAAGAGGTCAATATGGAGATTTTGGCAAGAGTTTTCTCAGAGCCCCTGAAAAAGTTTGCTGAATGGAGACAACTGGCTCAGAGGTTGAAAACAGAAGGTAAAGAATACCACCAAACACCTATGAAGTACAGTATCCAGGAGAATGTTCTCTTTTGGCGCAGCTAGCTCAGAGCAGACATTTTCTGCAGTTCCAGGGCAGACTGTTTTGAGTTCTATACAAATTGCTTATTATTGCTGTTATCTCAGACAGCTCCTGGCCCTGGAGAATTATATTATTTGTCTTCTCTCTGGCAGTGGCAAGTGTAAATTTAGATATAGACTACTGTATTGAATAGATTTGAGGCATTTGCAGATGGACAGTTGCTGTGTCCAGTTATCCACATTCATATCATTTTTAAGGTGACATCACAATATTGAGTTCTAAGGGTCCAGAAGTAGTAGTTTATTTGCCAGTATCTTCTATGGTCTATGCTGTTGAGGTTTTCAAGTATTTTCTTCATTTTCTGGAGTGGTTACCCTTCTGTTCATTTTCATTGTCCTTGAAAGCTGTATACAAGCGGCCTGTGTCCTTTCAGAGGGCTGAAATAGAAGAAGTGCGTCGAGATGAGGCTCTCCAGCTGCCAGAGGATCTGGATTATTTTGCCATCAATGCATCACTATCCCAGGAAGTGCGAGAAAAATTGGATTCCCACCGACCTCAGACGGTAAGGAGTTGGCATGGAAAAGGGTAACGTATTACAAAGAAGCTGTGCCTTTGAACTTAGTTAATTTCCAAATGCATTGCTGTGATAACTGAGGAACCACTGGCACATTTGGAGGGAGGGGTTTGCTTGTTAAGGAACCAGGTGTACTTTGAATCCCCACAGACATTTCTGGCTGTACGTTTGGGAATAGTAAGCATTTAATTGATACTCAGTTTTCACTAGTGCTCTGAATGCATAGGGTTGGATTTTAAAGCAGAAGAGATTCTTGTGACTGAGGAGGTTACCACTGTTAATGGAACAGATCCATAGGATCCAAATAGGGTTGCCAGATCTGGTTTGGGAAATACCAGGAAATTTGGGGGGGGGGGTACCTGGGGAGAGCAGGGTTTGGGAAGGGGAAGGGCCTCCGCATAGTATAATGCCATAAGAGTCCACCCTCCAAAGCAGCTGTTTGCTCCAGGGGAACTGATCTTGATAATATGGAGATCAACTGTAACAGCGGGAGATCTCCATATGCCACCTGGAGGTTGGAAACCTTATATGTAACCCATTCTTTAACTTTGCTTTTATTTTTATTACCCAAACTAAACCTAACTAAAAGAGGAGAATGGGTGGCAGAAAGAAATAGAATGACTTGTATAGGGCAATGAAACAACCCTAGTCTTATAATAAGTATTGTCACTATTCATGACGAATCCAGCATCCTCCTCCCCTGCCCCCCACAAAAGAGGTCCAAGACCTAGACTATAAATACTGTAATATGTTTCTGCTTTTAGATTGGAGCTGTCAACCGAATCCCTGGAATTACACCAGCTGCTATTTTCAATCTGCTAAAATTTGTGAAAATCAGTCACCAAAGAGCAAAAAGAACAGAGGGGATTAAGTAATTTATCTAGAACTGATAGCCTCTTTTCAGATGCAGATTTGCTGGGGCAATGAAAATTTAAAGTTGCTGATGGAAATATTCTTTTGTGCAGAAGCCATTAAACTTATTTATATGTGGTCCCTGAGCATGTGGCTATAAGATTGTCCGCATAGTATGAATGGATGGACGACAGACATATTTGTAGTAGTACAGTACAATAGAATGGGAAGAACTAGATATCTCTTCAAGAAAATTGGAGAAATCAAGGGAATGTTCTGTGCAAAGCTGGCCATGATAAAGGACAAAAACGGTAGAGACCTAACAGAAGCAGAAGAAATTAGGAAAAGATGGCAAGAATACACAGAAGAACTATACAAGAAAGACCTCGATGTCCTTGACAACCACGATAGTGTGATCACTGACCTCGAGCCAGACATCCTGGAATGTGAAGTTAAATGGGCCTTAGAAAGCATTACTAGCAACAAAGCTAGTGGAGGTGATGGTATTCCAGCTGAGCTATTCAAAGTCTTAAAAGATGATGCTGTTAAAAGTGCTGCACTCAATTTGCCAGCAAATTTGGAAAACAGTGGCCACAGGATTGGAAAAGGTCAGTATACATTCCAATCCCAAAGAAGGGCAATGCCAAGGAATGTTCAAACTATCGCACAATTGCACTCATGTCACACGCTAGCAAGGTCATGCTCAAGATCCTACAAGCTAGGCTTCAACAGTACGTGGATAGAGAACTGCCAGAAGTACAAGCTGGGTTTCGAAGAGGTAGAGGAACTAGAGATCAAATTGCCAACATTCGCTGGATTATGGAGAAAGCAAGAGGATATTTCTTGATATGTTATACTTCCTCTTAAACATTTTAAAAATGAAAATAAAATAAAATGTCTCTTGGCAATCAAGTGTAAGACAGGCAAGCTAGTTATTTTGTGTTGTTTCTGACCAGGAAAAGGGACAAAAATAGTGACTCTTCAACTGTGTGGTGATAAAAATTACAAACATGACTCTAAATTTAGTGAAAGATACATTGTTGCTTACAACTTTGTTTTCTTAGTAATCCAAGGGACGGTGAGACTGGCCCAAGATCATCCACTTTGCTGCATAGCAGAATGAGGATTTGAACCTTGGTTTACCAGATAGCCATGACACCAGACCTAAGTAGAATGTTAACCTGTGTTTGTTGTGGAGGCTCGCTAGGTGACCTTAGGCCACTTATGCATTCTCAGCCTAACTGACCTCACATGGTTATTGTGAGGATAAAATGAGAAGAGAATGATGTAAACTGCTTTGGGTCCCCATTGCGGAGGAAAGTGGGGCATAAATATAGCTGGGGGGGGGCAGAGGAAAGGTAGGTTTGTTGGTGGGAAGTACAGAAGGAAGCAGGAAAAGGTTACTAGAACAGATAGTAGTGCGGGGAGAAGGATACAGGGGAAAGTGAGGTGCCCCCTGTAAGTCTTTGCAGGTTCTCCACTGTGCATTGTGGCCCAGCCCCATACAACTGGACCACTTTTCCCAGGTTGAGGCTGCTGGGGAGAAGCTGAAAGTGGGAGTAGATAAAGGCTTTTCTGAAAGCCCCCATAGGGAGCTGTAAGGGGAGGACTCTTCAGGTATAAGCCTGGTAGCAACTACTGGGTGATGTCCTACCAAGTGATATATGGGACTCACCCAGGACTGGCTGCTTGCCAGAGTTCAACAGGAGCCACTCCATGGAAGCTAGCATTGCATAGAGGTTGAGTTTCAGACTAGGATCTTAAGAGATGAGGGTTCAAATCACTCTACCTCAGAAGCTGACTGGGTGACCCTGGACAAGTTACACATTCCCAGCCTAACTTACCTTGCAGGGTGGTTGTAAGGATAAAGTGGAGGACAGGAGAATAATGTAAGCTGCTTTGGGTCCACATGGTGGAGAAAAGCAAATATAAATGAATATAGCTGAACATAAAAGGGAGGTTGGTTGGTGAGAATAGGATAGAAAGGTGAGGATACAGGGATTGGCCAGGAGAAAGGTAGAAGGAAATAGTGTAGGCAAGGGGATGCTGGGGAAAGTGAGATGCCCCCTTGCAAGTCCTCACAGCTTTCTGCTTGTAATGAGAGAAATGAGCTGTGGTTGTAAAATAGTTTGCAATTTCATCTCTCATTTAATTGTAACAACACTATAAACAACCCCCCTGCCTAAATGCAAGCATTTTTACTATGGGATTTTGGGTGGGGAGAATGATACTTGTTCCGAGGCTGTATTATCCGAGTCCTGTTTGGCCACTTCTTTGCGTTAATATCAGCAGACACCCACAGAATCATGCCTAATACATTTTCATATTGAAATCAAACTTGAGAGCTTTTGATGTAGCATAAATCAAATGTGCCTTTTAGCTGGTTTCAGTTTATGACATCAAAGATTACAACACCGGTTCTTGGATTGTGTGCCCGGACTGATGGGTGGGACCCTCGGTTCTAGTCCTCACTTGGTCAGGAAGCTCCATGGATGATCTTAGACCAGTCACTGCCTCCTGACTTCCTTCAGTGAGGACACAAAGAGAACAATATGTACCTTTGGAAGGGCAGTAAATAAACTGTCAGTTCCTTTGAGAGTTCTCGCATTAGCAGAAGAAACTAGATTATAGGTTTATTTTGTGATATGTGGGATCTTCCTAAAGCCTACATAACTGCAACTTTATAGACGCAGAAACTATTGGTACAGAAGCCTATAAAGGTAAAGGTTCCCTTTCTCGAAAGCCAGTCGAGTCCGACTCTAGGGTTGCGGTGCACATCTCCGTTTCAAAGCCGAAGAGTCAGCACTGTCCAAAGACGTTTCTGTGGTCATGTGGCCAGCGTGACTAAACACCAAGGTGCATGGAACGCTGTTCCCTTCCCACCGAAGCAGTACCTATTTATCTACTTGCAATTTCTTGCTTTCGAACTGCTAGGTTGGCAGGAGCTGGAACTAAAGACAGGAGCTCACTCCGTCATGCGGCAACTCGGGTCTCCAACTGAACTACTGACCTTCCACAGCCTGCAGTTCAGCATCTTAGTGTTAGACGATTTCAGGAACCAAAATACAAACAGGGTTGGATCCTAAAACTTTTTACATGGTTTTTTCAGAGCAAGGAATATTTCACCAGTACTAGTGTGACCTTTGTACTTTGGTCACATTACAAGAGTCACTGGGAAAAAATCATGCTAGGAAAAGTTGAAGGCAGCAGGAAAAGAAGACCCAACATGAGATTGACTATAAAGGAAGCCACAGCCCTCAGTATGCAAGATAGGACATTTTGGAGGATTCACATAAACTGGAAACAACTTGGCAGCACTTCACACCCACACAGCCTTATGCATCAGTGAAGGTTTCTTGTGCCACAGCAACAACTCCGTGTACTGGCTCTACAGCCCTAGCTCAAACTAGGATTAATACTGGAAATTGGTGATATGATTCTGTCTTGCTGTATTAATTAGAATTCATCTGTGTATCAATAAATCATTGGGACCGTAGCTTCGGAATCAATATTGGTTAACACTCAGCTACGTATCTACCCAAAAGCAGCCTTATCATCCCATACCCAGTGTTTGTGGCCAAGAGGCTGAGAGATTTAAATTGAATCTAGGTGAGACTGAAATGATGCTGGGTGGAAAAACTAGAGCCTTACAGGGTTATGCTGCCTAATCTTGGGAGCCAGAAAGGATTGTCTAATCCACAGATAACCTTCGAAAGCCAAGTAAATGCTAACATATCTACTTGATACTCCAGTGTAATCTGTAAATATTTATAAGCAACACATTCAGCATTGGCCTAAGTACCTGTCAGAGTATTAATTTATCAAGTGTGCCAGAAAATAATGCAATTTCAAAATGCACATGGGGAATTGCAATAGACTTCCTCCACTAGATCATGCATTTCCCTTCCAACTTTTAGGAAGATTTACAGTCTACAAGGGTTTTAGCAGCTCATTTCCTGTTTGTATCAAGCCTGAAACTGTCAGAAAATGGCTCTCAAGTCAGGTCTCAAACTATGACATTAGTCTAAACAAAATCTATCCTACTTGAAAATAAACCACCCATAGAAATCAAGTAGTTCTAAGACTCAACATTTACTGTGGAATCTAAAGTCCAAATCTGTTTTGCTTACAAAATTTAGCATTTTCTATTAAGCCAACATAATTTTACATATTTTGTTGGAAAGCAAAACTAAACTAAGGAAAGGAATTGTAAAGTAAGACAAATATCAAATGTCAGTTTAAATGTAATTTTGGTTTAATAACCAAAGGCAATGTATACCACAGGCCAAATGAAGAAACCAGTTTTCTTCAAGATGTAGTACATATAAAACCCATATTGCTTTCCCTCCCACACTACAAGCATAACGGCCATAATGCAAATTTTGGGACCGTTATTCTTAAACTATCACTCTTCAGCTCTAACACTCAGTACCTGAGATCTCAAATAATACTTGCCTATCTGTTTTTCATGTCATTTCAGCAGTGCCCCTACAGATTATTCCAGGTGTTCTTTTCACCCATACAGCAAACTGTGTCAAGTTTTAGGACTCAAAATGCTGACAGGTGTAACATACACACCATTTTCTTATCTCAAGGCTCTATTTGTAAGCATGTCCAATGCTTTTAATTCACTTTTTTCAGACAATGCCTAAATTGCCATGATTTTAGTTTGAAATGTCAAGACCCAATGAGACTTAAGTACACACATAATTTTACTGTCGTATCATTCAGGTTTTTTCCAATTTTGGCAGCAACCTGCATGATGTACCTTTGAGGTCTTGCAGTTTCTGTATTAATTCATTGATTTGTGATTTTCATATTTCATAACCTTTTCATATAGACAGATAGGGTGATGGGATTATTTTCTAAGCATGCAACCAAATTGAAAGTTTAGGTCTCATGATCCAGCCATATTGAAATTAGTAAGCCTTTGAAAGCACTAGTGACAGGGCTACCAAACAGAATCCTGTTATCCGTAATTATACTACCAAGCAGTTGATTAACTGGTAATATCTTTTACTACAGAAAAGACAAGGTCATGCCCATTTTTAAAGGCTTTAGGGGGTACAAAATTACAGAAAGACGAGATTTCACACATTTACCATTACATTTCTGAGTTTTAAATGTGGCTGAAAATGACCAAAAGACTACATTAGAAATTTATTCTCCCCCCCCCCCCAAATGTCCAAATACTCATCAGAGAACATAGCCAATACAAGTGGTTTGTAACTGGAATGTACCATAACAAAGC